ATGAATAGATGGGTGGATCAAAGAACGCCAATCAAGGGTGTGAAAGCCCATGTGATGAGTTCACAAACTTAGTCTTAAGGCATCGCATACAAGAGACATAGATTCAAATGTTTACTAAGTGAAAAATTCCATCTTGCTTAGATAAACAAAAAACAAAGCCAAAGCTTTAGAGAAAAATCTCTTTTAATTTCCAAAAATTTCTATATCTTTTCACAATGAGAACAATGAGCTTTTATAGTTCTTACAAAAGATCTTTACAAATAAATACATTTAAATGAAATTATTTATATTTAAACAAAAGAAAAAAATAAGCTAAATCAAATAAAAATCTTCTTGACACCAATTTCTCTTTAGACTTGAATGAGAATCTTTAAATTTTGTGAAATGATTAAGACCAGATTCTTATAATAAATCCACATAATGAAAACCTCTGATTTAGTGTTTTTTCATATTGTATCAAAAAGTATGCGGTGCTTGACATGGTTCGATGAGGTACCGTCAACCATTATATCGTCTGGAATGAAAGACATGTTATTTGCTCTGCTACAAGTTTAAGTTTTTTGAGCTTCCAACCCAAAATCAATTGGTTATGAGTGGATTGGTTCAAGTCTCTTATATATTAGTGAATGTTCTTCCCAACTTCTGATATAAGACATATTTGTACAAAGTTGGAACAAAGTTGAAACAAAAATGATGAGAACAAAGATGAGAGTTCGTCATGAAGACGACGATGGTTATATAAATACTGGGGAGATTGTTTGCAGGAAAAATGAATCTTACTTTTTATTCATACGGTGTGGTGTTTGATGTAATAATGTTTGTCAATGTGAAGTAATTACACTTTTTCTCTTGGACGGAATTCACAGCATCGTTACATAACTGGTGGTGCTGCGAAACAAATGAAAAACAAACAAAAATGCCGAAAACTGCTTACATGTTCACATACTAATTTTAGAAAAATTATTATTCTTAATTTAAACGATTTATAAATTTCGTTAATGTTTTGAATTTATTACAATGTTTTCTATAATCTATTTGTTCTTAATTTACTTTTTGGATTTATAACAATGTTTTCTATAAATTTTGGATTTATAACAATGATTATACTGTATAAATATTAGGGAGATTGTCCGCCTGAAAAATGAACCTTATTCAGTTCAATGTGGTGTTTGATGTGGTGGACGAAGATGATGATAAATACATGGTGCATTGGTCAGAGGTAAGCGTGTCCACCCCAGTGAGTGCCTCCGAATTTTTCTGCTATGACCTTAGTGAAACAGAAGAGAAAAGCAAATTTACAAGTAGAGAATCAAAATCATTCGAAGATCACATATCTACTTAGTTATTTCAAAGCCTGAATATAATGCATACCCGAACTATTGATCAAATATGATATAACAAATATCTGACACCTTCTCCAATTATTCTGACGCTCTCAAATCCCTAATGAACCTCATTCAGCTCCAGCTAAACAATCTCTCGGTCGCTAAAGACGTTCGTACAAAATGATGATTGTTTGCCAATTCAAGGTACTCTTGGCTTCCAGATGCAAATAACCCTCCTCGGCAAGATCTCAGATACCAGCTTGTCGAACAAGTTATGGTCTTGATGTACCAAAAATTGACCTAACTTGTTCACCAAGTAAGACTCGAACTCTGGAGGGTCTTTGTGTCCGTACTCGGTCCTTATCTCTAGGATTATGATCTCAGATTGGGTCTCCGACAAGAATTTGATGACGTTATTTAGGACGACATCAACGTCGTATGACGTCAGACGGGAGATTGTTCTTTTTCATTTAACGTGTACCATTTTCCGGCAAACAATCACATTTTCGTAATAAATAAAACCAATGAAACCATTGGGCATATGCAGAATATTTACTTACAGAAACAATGAATACTCCATCAACAAAATAAAAAAAAAAAAAGTCCACCGAAGTAAAAAAAAAATGAATTCCAATATAACGCCAAAGAGTAAATTAAGAACAAATAATTATAGAAAACATTTTTTTTTATCATCTGAAGATTTTATATCATCACGTGAAAGGATATAGCAGAAGGATACATAAGGATACATTGAAGGATACATAATTTGAAAACTCAGAAACAATACTCTAACACACCAAAACTAAAACAGATTCAGAACCCGAATAAAGGAAGAACAAATACAACTTCAAACTTGCAAACCTTCAAAATCTTCTGGTGCGCTTAAGCTGGAAAGTATCGAAGATGCCCACGGCCAACCAACCAAACCAAACTTACTCTTATGTTAGAACCAGAACCAAAGTTTCCTGAACCGGCAAACAAGTGCAGCAACTTAAAACTTTCGGAAACGAACCGTTAAGCAATTACAGCAACTTGAAAACTTCCGGAAACGGCGAAGTCACAAAGAACAGAAAAACGCCTAGATAGAAACTCCCAAGCTGCTCCAGCAGCAAAGGACAAAGGACTAAGAGTAAACCTAAACCATCCCGCAGTATAAAGACTACGGCAACAAGAGCCAATAAGCACAGAATGACGGAGAAGCGAAACACCGACCACCAATAAAGAGAAACAGCACAAGCAAGATTAAAGACATAAAACTCTCCAAGAACGCCGATCCTCTGCAAAGAAGGCGAAGAGCAACCACAGAGAGATCCGAAGACAACTCTGCTAGAAACTGAGACTAGCTAACAAAAACAGAAAGAGAAAAATGACGGGATCGAAAAAAGAGAATGAGAAAACATTGTTATAAATCCAAAAATTTGACGGAGCGTATTCACATAGATATAAAATTTAATTATGCTGAGCTGCTAAACCGTTTATCATGGTGGTGATTGATCTGAAATTATTATTGGAAACTCTACACTTGTGTGTTTGTTGTAGCCTGGTATGGATCTTGTCATGATAATATTAGAAAGAACGATTTATCTTTCTTTTTAGAATTTGGCAATGCTTAACATAAGTGTAAAACGGAGCTAGCTTCAGACATCTTTGAGAGAAGGATGAAATGTAGCCATTGGCTCACATGTTCTCTGAAATTAGATTGATCTGAAATTAGTATTTGGATTGTAGCCTGGTTATGGATTTTTTTTTTTATTTTTATTTTTTTTGGTCAAAAGTTATGGATCGTTTCATGATAATATTAGAAAATGATTTCTCTTTCTTTTTCATGTATCCCGAGTTTTCGTTATTTTTCTTCTTTCTCCGTATGTGTTGATAAAGAACATAAAACGAATATAGAAGAACAAAAACATAAAAACACACACATATGCATAACAATTTCAAAAATAAAACGCAATTTGTATGAAAAAAAAGGAGAGTTCCTGCATCAGATCATAACAGCTAGAGATTTCGCTAAGTTAATAAGATTCCCAGGAATGAAATCATGATCACACCACTCAACTTGACCCCAAATCTCCCCTTCTTTACGCCTTTCCAGTGAAATCTTCGCAAACAAAACCTCACTTCTTGTCGTTAGTCCTTTAATTTCACAGATGAACAAAGCCAGTCTCCCACCGTAACTCGCACTCCTTGACCAATTTACAGATCTTGTCCGTCTTGTCTTAGCCAACAAATCTTCCACACCTTTCACCACTCCCCAACACCTCTGCTTTGGATCATACGTTCTTATACTATTCTCAGCAAAATCGTAGTAGTACAATATGTCCCCGACCACACATGCATTCCTCCACTTCAATAAACTCAGCATCTCGTCTCTTTCCCATTTATTTTCATTTGGCTCGTAAACAAAGCTGTTTTTTAAGTCGCTCGCATACAGCTTATCACCCATCACCACACAATCACGCCACGTGCTACGTATCATCGCAGGCTGTTGCTCCTCCCACTTTTGTGTTTCTGTATTGAACACCACCATTTCATTATTCCAGTAATCATCACGACCGCTATTTCCAATTACATATATTTTCCCATCGATGATGTCAGCCATTGCAACAGCCATTCGCATAGGTATGCTGGGGAGAGTTTGCACCGTGTGAGATCTATAGTCGATGGATACATTGTCATAGCCATTCCCACCGAACACATGTATCCTCGATCCCAACGCGACGAAGCTTCTTCCACTCCAAGGCATAGCGGGAAGCCAAGGGATATGGACCAAGCGTCTATCGCCATTGGCTTTCCGACAGAGAATATACCAACTGAGATTACCGCTGTTGTCTCTGTCATAGTAGACAACATAGAGACAGTGTTCCGTGCAGCCTAACAAGGATCGCCTCGCGTATATCTCAGGCGACGCTACGAGTGATCGGAATTGCTTAGAAACGAGGGAGAGTACTGGATAGTTGTAACTCGGTACACGCGCTAAGATGTCCACGATGACGTCTTCGGGAAGTGACGTCATCAGAGACCGTGGTTTTGTGGATCGCCCATTCCTCATATCTTTATCTTAAGAGAGAAAAGCGCAGAACCCTATTTTTAGGCTCAAGCGAGAGGAATGTCCAAAACCCTAATTTCCTTCTTACTAGGCTTTAATAAAACCTGTACTAAGGAGTATTTGTATATATCGTAAGATGCCCTGGTTTATTGCTATTGTTTTTTACTAAATATCTAAAAATATATTTTTTTCATTGATTAATGAGTAATTGAATCGATTACTAAATTAGTATTGGAAACTCTACACTTGTGTGTTTGTTGTAGCCTGGTATGGATTTTTCATGATAATATTAGAATACGATTTCTCTTTCTTTTCAGAATTTGGTAATCCCGTAACATAAGTGTAAAACAGAGCCAGCTTCAGACATCTTTTGAGAGAAGGATGAAATGTAGCCATTGGCTCATGTTCTCTTACATGACCATGTTGTTTGATATGGACGTAACTAATTTAGTGGTTTCAGTTCAGCTCCTCTGTTATCAGACAAGAGCTCAAAGCAACACAAAACATAACAGAATTCTGATTTTGAGTAACTTAACACACATTCAATTCATAGATCAATTTACAAAAATAAAAACAAAAACAAGTTAACCCTAAAGGCGTTTGATGCCTCTGAATCTATTCTGACCATAGTTCTTGATGAACCACTCAGGCCTGTACAAAGCAACAACATGTCCTATTGCCAATCCAAACAAAACTCCAGGCCCATACCCTATAGCCACTGCTTTCCATTTCCAAATTGCTTCTTCTTCTTCTTCTTCTTCTTCTTCTTCAGGCTCTTGTGTAGATGGTCTGTTTTTGCTGGAGCAGCTTTCTTCAAGAGGAAGACCACATAACCCTAGATTCCCTTCAAATGAGGATTTAGGCTGCCCTACGATTTGTGTCCCTTGTGGTATTTGACCAGTGAGCTGATTATCAGAGACATCTATGTACGCCAAATACGATAGTCTTCCAAGTTCTTGTGGAATCTCCCCCGAGAGTTTGTTCCCTGACAGGTCTAATGACTCGAGCTCAGACACATTGGCGAAAGACATAGGGATATGTCCTGAGAATGAGTTGTTTGATAAGTTGAGAGCAATCAATGCCTTCAAGAGACCAATAGATTCTGGAATCTCTCCTTCGAGTTGGTTTCCAGAGAAATCAATGGCCGAGTAGAAAGTAAGAACCTTTCCTTGCTCCATGTATAGACCTTTGTATTGAAGATCCAGAGTATCTTCATACTCAAACCGACCACTCGCATAATCTCCCATATACAGCTTGTCTTCATCATTCGGTTTCAGAGATGTTGCAACCCAATCCGCAAAGTAATTTGCTGGTAAGCTTCCGTTAAATCTGTTGTGGGATATCTCAAGTATCTGGAGCTTAGGAAACGCAAGAGGAACTTCACCATCAGATATAGGACCATGGAACCTGTTTGAACGGAGAGTAAGCACTTTCAAATTCGGCAGTGCCTTGAGCCACAAGGGAAACGAGTCATTGATTCTGTTGTGATCGGCACTTAGAAACGTCAGGAGTGAGCAGTTCAGGAGAGATCTCGGAAGCTTCCCGGTTAGTCGATTGTATCCAAGGTCGAGTGTCTGCGTAGAAGTGCCGTTGTAGAACCGGTCTGGAATGTTTCCTTCAAGCTTGTTTTTCCGGAGATTCACTATCTTGAAATCACCCATACATGGAGGAATTGAGCCGGTGAAGTTGTTGTAGGACAGATCAAGAACTTCAAGAAAGGTTCTGTTACAGGTTGAGAGAGGAATCTCTCCTGTGAAACTATTGTTCCAAGCGGACAAGTTGATGATGAAGAGTGGTGGGTTAGGTAATGATCCTTTGAAACAATTGTAAGCCATGTCTAACACCTGCACCGATGAGTTGGCTACAACATGATCCAACGAGCCTTCGAAACCGGTGAACGAATTGTTGTAAAGATTCAGCGAGGTCAAACGAGGAAGACTCCATAACCAGTCAGGAACGTTCCCTTTGATTCTGTTGTTGGCGAGATACAAGAGCTCTAAATTCTTTAGGGATTCCACGAATCTCGGGAACTCCCTTATGTTGCATCCCGACAAGAGCAAGATCCTGATGCTCTTTGCAAAGTCGATGTCTGAATCCACACTCGTTGGTGTTAAACTGTTTCCGGAAAGATCGAGGTGTGTCAAAGATTTGAAAGAAGAGAAGATTCTCAAGTCAATTTGGTGGATTATGTTTAGGTAAGAGAGCTTGAGAGTCTGGAGCTTAGACGAGGAATTAGGGATTTCAAGTGAGCCAGTGAGATGATTCTGACTCAAATCAAGAATACGCAAGAAAGGCATAGTAAAGAGAGAAGAAGGTATGGTTCCAGAGAATTGATTATAAGAAAGGTCTAAAGCTAAAAGATTTGTTAGATTCTGTACAAGTGAGGTTAAATCACCTTTGAGGTTGTTGTTAGAAAGCTGTAATTGGGTTAATTTTGGGAGGTTGCGTATAGAGGAAGGAACTTGGCCGAAGAAGCCATTAGAGGAGAGACGCAAGACCTCTAGATTGTTGAGTTGACCAAAAGCAGAGGGTAAAGAAGAAGAAGCGAAGTTGTTGAGAGAAAGGTTAAGGACACGGAGATGGCTTAGCTCAAAGAGGCTACTGTTGGGTCTGAAAGTGCCACGTAGACATCCAGTGGGGAGGTTTAGAACCGTGACCGCACCGGTCGCGTTATCGCAAGCCACACCGCGGAAGAAGTCGGCGTCGTCACTGCAACTGCTGGAGAACGCAAACTCGTTTTTGAAACGCTTAAGAGTTTCGGTTTGGTCGGGACGGCATGTGAGAGCGGAAACAAGATTGGTAGTAGTAGTAGTGATGAACAAGAAGACGGCATAGAAGAGGATGGATGCAAGAGGGAGCAAACGCAAAGGCGATTTTGACATTGCAATGGATGTGTGTGAAAAGTTTGTAATGGATTAATTTCTTTGGCATGCGAAATTGTGAATCATCAGTCCGTTATTATATACTACGACGACATAATGATGGCGTTGCGTTGCTTGAGTTTTTGAAACTCACAAAAGTCCTTAACATTATCTATGATTATATTATAACAACATGGCTTATATTTTTAAGAAAAATATTAAAAAAAAAAGACATGGGCTAATTATTTCTTTCAAGACTATGGTGACGACGCAGCTTGTTTTATTAATTTTTTTATTTCTTTGGTTTGTTGAAACTTAAGTGTTTTCACACACTGAGCAAATTGACTAATTTCCTGGTCAATAATTTATGAAGTAAAGAAGATACGATTTTACATGGCATACACGTTTCTGTTGACCTAGATATATATAAAATAAACGTTCTCACATAACTAGTTGCATTCATATATTAAGACTAAAGACGTCTTCTAACAACCCTCGTAAAGGTGGTGACTAAAGATGCGGTCAAGGCTTCGCCAGAGAGAATCAACAAAGACGAGGAAACTAGTGATGTGAACAATGGCTTGAACAAATTTAAAGTCTCTGATAGATTCAAAAGGTTCTGAAACATATTTTACCGAAAGAGTATAATAATAATACACTACAAACAAACAAACATTCACAGATACACAGTTCTTCTAAGTGAGATTAAGCCTCACAAGAGGGTCAGTGAGATAGTCACTGGCGATTTGTCGTTAATGCTTTATAGCGGGAAACTGTAGTCACTATATACTTTATCCTTTTTCACTTGCTTTAAACTAGTATCCCTAAGCAATGTGAATTTGAGGATGATTGATTGAACATTTAATATTCAGATGTGAATTTTAATGTTTTGAGTTAATTATTTTAGCTGCTTCACTTCCTGTATCTCGAATAATCTAACTTCATATACTTCCTACACTAGAGATAATTTGACAGTAATTGTTCCATTGTTAGAGATAATTTAATAATTTAATATGGGTTTATTAACGATTTACATGAAACTAATGGCTAATGTGTCATGTATTTGGTCATCCATATCTAAACACCATTTTGACCTGTATGGATCGAAATCAATAGTAGGTTCAAACACTTTATCTTTAAATTAGAAAAAATGGTTCTTAACAGGCTAACAGTGATAGTTCAGATTATTAAGAACAATTTAGTCTTAGTCAAAGTCATGGATACATATAATCAAAGCCATTAAAAACGATTAAATCTGAGTTATCGGAAAAACCTTACTTTAATATTCAGGAACCTTTTCTCTTAGAAAATATTTAATTAAGTCTAGTGTAAACCTGTATAGCTTGCAATTTAAACTTTCTAAAAATAAAGGAAAATGCAATGACACATCTCTAATTCATCATCGTTTACTTCTCTTAAAACAAAAACATAAATCAGAAACATCAGATATAATTAATTAACTAACTATATAATTAAATTTGCAATTAATTAATTAATAGTAATACTAACAAAATTTGAAAGAAACGGTGAGAAATTAAATAAAAAGGGAAAACTCCTCCCTGTGTGCGCGTCACGCGAAATTCCAGCGTTTTCAATTTATCGCAGCGTCGTCCCCATCTCTCTCTCTCCCTTTCGTTTTCCCTTCTATTTTGGATCTTTCTTACTCACGAAGGAAACAAAAAGAAACGCTTCTCTTTCTTTCCTCGAATTCAAATTCGGAATTGTGGTGTTGCGTTAGGGTTTTTTTTTTCCTCTTCTTCGACGGGAACAAGGTGAACAATGGGACAACAGAATTTGATCTACAGCTTCGTCGCTCGTGGCACGGTGATTCTCGCCGAGTACACTGAGTTCAAAGGGAATTTCACTTCCGTCGCTGCACAGTGCCTCCAGAAGCTTCCTTCTTCGAACAACAAGTTCACCTACAATTGCGACGGCCACACCTTCAATTACCTCGTCGAAAATGGCTTCAGTGAGTCTCTCCCTCTCTTCTCGATTCGAACACAATTATCGGAATATCATTCTCTTTATGCCTGGAATCGCGTAGATATATGTTTACGTTTCGCTCGTTGTTTTGATCTGTATGTAGACATAGATGTATCTCTGTATTCGTGTTGTAATCGATTCCACTGGATCTATATTTGGTCATTTGTGCGTTTGCGTCAATGAATGCCTGAAGAAATTTGGATTTTTATTGATGAATGTATGTTCGATTAGATTTTTTATTACTGATTGCTACATCTCTTGGTTTGGATTTATCTGAATCTCTGTTTGGTGTTCTGATTCGTTTGAGCTTCTCTGCGTATGGATTGTTTTTGAGAAGGCATTGTTGTTTGATTCATATATATGATGAAATTGAGGCTTTTGATTACATGGAAGTCAAAAAGTTCCTTTGCTACAACCAAACTAAAATTCAAAATCTGAAACAATATACTTCTTGATGTCGTTAGCTTACTTTTGCCTCTTGTATCTGAAGTAGGTGATATATGATCAATACTCTATAGCTTCGTATTTGTAAGCCATATATTAGGGTCCTTTTACACTCCCTGTATCTCATATTTGTCCATGGACCTGACGAAAGATTCTTATTTTTCTGATGCAGCCTATTGTGTTGTTGCTGTTGAATCCGTTGGGAGGCAGATTCCAATGGCCTTCTTGGAGCGAGTTAAGGAAGATTTCAACAAGAGATATGGTGGTGGAAAGGCTACCACTGCTCAACCCAACAGCTTGAACAAAGAGTTTGGGTACTTAAGCTTTTCCATCAGAAATGAACAACAAAAAATTTGCTCTTTTTTAGTCTCTGCATACGGTTTTAACAAATTTGGTTGCACCACAGGTCTAAACTGAAGGAGCATATGCAGTACTGTGTGGATCATCCTGAAGAGATTAGCAAACTTGCCAAGGTTAAGGCTCAGGTGACTGAGGTGAAAGGTGTTATGATGGAGAACATTGAGAAGGTCAGATTAGTATATATATATATCTATGTCAATCTCACAACTCTATTTCATCAATGTCATAACTGGCTTGAATTTTCTATGCACCTTAAGGTAAATGTGTCACACTTTTGCAAAAGTGACTGAGCCTCATGTCATTCATTAATTGCAGGTCCTTGACCGTGGTGAGAAAATTGAGCTACTAGTGGACAAAACTGAGAACCTTCGTTCGCAGGTTAGTACTTGTAATTACCTTATGTGTATACATACCGATACATGTTTGGATAAGCATAAAAAAGCTTTCCAGTTCTCACGCTGTTATATTTTCCGATTCCAATATCTACAGGCACAAGATTTCAGAACGCAAGGAACGAAGATAAGAAGAAAGATGTGGTTTGAGAACATGAAGATTAAGCTTATAGTCCTCGGCATCATCATTGCCTTGATTCTCATCATCATCCTCTCGGTTTGTCATGGCTTCAAGTGTACCTAAAACTTGAGAGAAGAAGAAGAATACGTTTGAGGGATTATCAGCCCCAATATTGCTCTACTAAGCTGATGGAAACTCCTCCCGGGTATATGCCCTTCTTTTTTCTTCTTGCTTTCGCGGTTATTCTTATTATAATTTTGTTAGGGAAAAGGAATATGATGACTCAGTACTGAGAACTGATACTTTAGGGTATGAATGTTTGGAAAGAGATGTAAACTGTTGGGGTTTGCTTATATATAGATTAGGTCTCTATGCTAATGGTGATGACATGTTTTTTTTTGTAATCTAAAAAAGTCTAATGTTGGGTTTCTGATGATTCCTTCAAACTCGCAATTTATCTCATTAGTAAAAGGAAACATTAGATTAGGGTATTTGTGCTCCTGGTGATGGTTCTCGCTTTTGCCATGTTCCTCATTAGTTACAAAAAAAAAAAAAAAAAACAGAGATGCATATGAATATGAGTACAGAAAATTCACCATTCTTATTTGATAGAAGAAGATATTAAACAAGTGCTTCAATACAAGAACGTAATGGCAGACAAGGAAAGGTCAAACTCGAAACAAGAAAATTCCTAACGGGTTCTACGATTTTTTCGGACCAATGATCTTGACGAGCCACGCAGGCTTGTACGAAGCGATGGCTTGTGTGATTGCCAATCCAAGCAATAGTCCAGGCCCATACCCTATCGCCACTCCTTTCCAGTTCAATACTTCTTCCTCTTCTTCTTCTTCTTCTTCTTCTTCTTCCTTAGGCTGTTGTGTTGGTGGCGCATTAGTCCCAGAGCAGCTTTCATTGAGGGGAAGACCACAAAGTCCTGCATTCTCTTCAAATGAGGATTTAGGCTGCCCAGTGATCTGCGGTCCTTGTGGTATTTCACCTTTGAGTTGGTTATGAGACACATTTATGTACGCCAAAAACGAGAGGGTCCCAAGTCCATTAGGAATACTCCCGGATAGATGGTTTCTTGAGAGGTCAAGTGACTCGAGCTCTGTAAGATTGGTCAATGACAGAGGAATATGGCCAGTGAAAGCGTTGTTTGATAGGTTGAGTGCAATCAGTGCCTTCAAGTAACCAACAGACTCAGGAATTTCTCCTTCGAGTTGGTTTCCAGAGAAATCAATGGCTGCGTAGGAAGTCAGGACTTGCTCTTGCTCCATTTTTAGCCCTTTGTATTGCAAATCTATAATATCAGTATAGGTATAAGAGATTATTCCAAAAAGAGTATGGACGTATACTTATTGTCTGATATAAACTCCCATCTTCATTCATCTTAAGTGACGCTGCTTTCCAGTTCTCAAAGTATGTCGGTGGTAAGCTTCCAGTAAACTTATTGTCTGATATCTCAAATATCTGCAGCTTTGGAAACCCAGGAGGACCATCATCAGGAGGAGATAAAGGACCATAGAATCTGTTTGAACGGAGGACAAGAACTTTCAAATTGGGTACAGCCTTGAGCCAGAAAGGAAACGTGTCTTCGATGTTGTTGTGGTCAACACTTAGAAACCTTAGAGAGGAGCAATTCAGAAGAGATCTCGGAAGCTTCCCGGTTAGTCGATTATATCCAACGTCGAGCATCCGTACAATGGCACCGACACCAAAAGCATCAGGAATACTTCCTTGCAAGTTGTTCCTCTGGAGATTCACAAACGCGACATTACTTAGACATTGAGGAATTGGACCGGTGAAGTTGTTATGGGATAGTTCCAGGAGAACAAGCGAGCTTATGTTGCAGACCCAAAGAGGTATCTCTCCTGTGAAATAATTATAACCCGCAGAGAAAGACGTTGATAGATGGCGGTAGATTAGGAAGAGATCCTTCAAAATTGTTTGACCCCATAAGCAATAACAGAACTGATGAATTTACTAAAACTTCTGTGGAACCTTCGAAACTGACGAAAGAATTGTAAGCAATGTTCACTGAGCTTAGACGAGGAAGCTTCCATAACCACTCGGGTATTTTCCCTTTGATTTTGTTCCTGGATATGTCTATATACTCCAACTTCTTAAGAGATTTTAATATCTTTGGAAACTCGGTGATGCCGCATTGGGTGAAGTCCAAGCTCTCAAAGTTCAATGGGAGTGCATAATCAGACTTTAAACTAGTTGGAGATATATTGTTACCAGAAAGACTAAGGTACACAAAAAGTTTGAAAGAGGAGAAGAGGCTTAGGTCTATTGGAGTACTTGTTTTTAGGAAAGAAAGGTCGAGATACTTGAGGGTGATGAACTTTGAAATTGGCTCTAATATTTTTCCTTCAAACTCGTTGTTTCCAAGGTTCAGAAGTTCTAGCCTTGACGGGGAAGAGGAGTTGGGATGTTCAATGGAACCGGTGAACTGGTTTCCACTTACATCAACTTCTACCAAGAAAGGCAGAGTGAAGAGAGAAGAAGGAATGGTTCCGTAGAAGTGATTCCCGTAAAGGCTTATAAGAGTGAGCTTAGTTAGGTTTTGTACAAGTGGGAAACTACCAGTGAGACCGTTTTCGCCCAGGTACATCTCGGTTAACGAGGTCATGTTACTAATTGTGGGAGGAACTTGTCCCAAGAAGCCATTATTGGAAAGAGACAAGATCTCTAATTTGTTGAGATTTCCAAATTCTAAATGAAGTGAGGAACTGAAGTTGTTAAAGGGGAGATGAAGCTCATGGAGCTGGCGCAACTCAAAGAGGCTACTCTTGGAATTCAGAGTTCCGGAGAAGTGATTGTGAGAAATCTTTAGAACTGTGAGCTTAGTTAGATTCCCCACAAGTGGGAAACTACCAGTGAGCTCGTTATTGGACAAGTTTAAAACGGAAAGCATGCTTAGGTTACTAAATGAGGAAGGAACTTGGCCGTTGAAAGCATTAGAGGAAAGAGATAAAACCTCTAATTTGTTGAGATTGCCAAACTCGAAAGGGAGTGAAGAGGAGATGAAGTTGTTTCCAAAGAGATTAAGGTAACGAAGATGATGCAATCCAAAGAGGCTACTGTTCGGCTTCAAGGTTCCACTGAGACAGGCACTGAGTCGTAGCTTCGTGATCTCACCGGTAGAGTTATCGCACCAGACTCCATTAGAGAAGTCACTATGGTTGCAACGGCGAGTATCAAACTCGTTTTTGAACTGAGAAAAGGCTTGAATCTGGCGTGGATGACAACCAACAAGACCACCACCATGAGTATTTGCAGTGGCAATTAAGAAGGTTGAAGGGGAGACACAACAGAGCAAGAGTAGCAAGAGAAAATGCAAACGCATAGGAGATTCCGACAAGGTCGTCATCAAAATGTTTTAAGAAGAATGATTTTAGTGTAGGAAAAGTGAGAGAGAAGAATGATTATAAATAGAGAGATACTGTATGTGGTTTTTGTGTCACCCTCAGCAACTTGACTTTGGAAGAAAAATATGTTAATTTTTGAGAAAATGTTCCAAAAAAATGCTAAAGTTTTTTAGAGAGAAAAATATGCCAAATTTGACGTCTAAGAACCATTTTAAAAGCATTAAGGGAAATCCACGTTAGTTAATTTATTTTTCTAACGTAAAACTTGGATTGAGATCAGATGTAGTTTGAAAAATCTCACATATGTAAAAGTTACAAAAGAAAAATTTATGGTATACAATAAACAAAATGATCAAAGACAAGAAGAAATTATAATTAAATAGTTTGTTTGGGGATTGGAGAAAGCTGTCCAAATTCATCTTTCTCTATTGTATCCATCAGAAATTAAAACGATAAGAGAGAGTCTGGGTGTGGCAACAAAGGACAGTTCTTGAAAGTTTTATTTGTGTGAAAGCCAAGCAACATCAAAAGAGACTCTAAATATATATATAAATCTCTCTATTTTTTCTTAGAAAAATTTAAAAGTTCATAAATGTAACTGATTTTATTTCTTTCTAATTTTAATAAGTTTTAGGTACTAAACTACTTCTCAGTGTTCTCACCACCAATCCACAAATTTCAAGGCCTTTCAACCAAATCACCTTTTCTCGTTAAAACTTTATTTATACTTTGTTTCTCTTTTGAATTTTCTTGTACTTATTGCATTTAAGAATCTATATATGGCCTTACAGTGAAATGGCACTATGTTTGTTTGTGGATTAGAGAAGACTTTTTCAAAATTTTAAGAAGATGTGGCATTGATTTGTTTGTGGATTAGAGAAGACTTTGTCAAACCTTCAAAACCAAAAAAGTCACTCACTTGGTTTCCGTATCAGTCAATCACAACGACCATCCAAATAAGACGAAACAAATATATATATTTGTTAACGAATTTGTGTAGTCAGCACTTTAAATTTCCACTACTAAAAGCCAAAAATATCTTTGAATAAATAAGGATTGTTCACAATCTCTCTTCTGAAAGTAAACTGAATTGAGTTTTTCTTCTCTCTCTGCGAATCCACGAGATTGGAGTTTTATATTTTTAGGATTGATTTCAGTTATAATTGAGAGACGATAGTTGAGAGAGTTTTCATGCCAATCCATGAGACTTGAGAGTATTAAGCCTATTAATAGTCTACTAGGCTTACCTCTAAGGATGGCTAAAAGCAGAGAATCAAAACCGGCGCCTATGAGGAGTAATTATGAGAAAATATTAAGGGTATCAGTTTACCTCAAAAAAAGTTTCCTCAATCAAAAAATTCAAAAAACAAACGTTTCCTTGTTGTGTTGCTTAGGCTCCAAGTTGTTTCGAGACTTTTGATGATAAAGAGAGATTTTGTTTTTATTAGCTTGTGATTTCAGTTTTATGTCTCTGTGTTCTATTCCAGTTGTTGTTAACTTTCAAAGACGTTTTAAAGTACAGACAAATTATATGTCGTTTGCATTATTTTAGTCTTGACAAATATGTTGTGATCCTCTGCTTTTTCTTGTTTCATTTCACTGTCAAAAAGTTGGGTAGGGGGATGATATGATCCCTCTTATGATCTTGACCTTACAAACCAAGTGATGAACATATTGATTCGTGATAATGAGATGACTTGAAAGTTTTGATGAGAGATGAATCTTTTGTGGAGGAAAAAGGGGAAGAGTGAGTATGGAATGTAGCAAGAGGTGCGGATGACTCTTGATACAAACTATTAGAACACAAATGATATGATGCACCTATGATTCTAAGCAGGGTTTCTCATGGATATTACACACCAAGAGAGGTTGATCTACTTTCAATGAGAAATTTTATTAAAAAGATAAATGAAAACCAAACATAACCACACACACGGTTTTAAGGAGAAAGAGGAGAAGAGGAGAACGGACAACAAGAAAGCATTAAGTTAGTCTTGGGACAAACCCCTTTGACTAACCATGCATGATTCAATTCAAACTTACACAAAATACAAGACTAAATAAACAACTAAGGATGGAGAATGAATCTAGACACCCCAAGCCGCGAATGGTAGAAAGAAGTGGGCTTGGACAAATGACAAGTTAATGGGCAATGATGTTGTAGAAACACTTGCCTCGTTAAAAACCTTAGTGAGAAAACCTAATGGGACAAAACTCACTAAGGGAAAAAGAGCACAAAATGCTTCTACAAACCCCTTAACTAGTCATCGGCTATAATGCATACCAAAGCAGTATGTATAGCCTGTTTATTATCATATGCTTCATGAATAGACCGATTAAGCAATACTTCTAAGGCATTATGAAATGCCTTAGCCTTTGAACGGGTCATGGGACCTTCATGAACCTCTAGCACGTCATCAGCTACATGTTTGTTTGGATATTGTTCCTCCTCGGCTGCAAGCTCACCAATGTCTTCCATGATCATATCGTCCCCTCCTTCTTGAAAAAGATTTGACCTCAAATCCAACTCATCTGCAACATAGGGAATTAAACCAGTAACATTAAAACTAGAACTTATAGAATACTTACCTTGGAGGTCAAGCTGATAGGCATTGTCATTGATCCTCCTTGTGACGGTGAAAGGACCATCAATCTTTGGCATCAACTTGGATTTTCTTTCGGCTGGAAAGCGTTCCTTTCTCAAATGTACCCACACTTGATCACCAGCTTTAAAAACCATTTTGCTCCTTCCTTTATTCGCATGTTTGACATAAAGCTTAGTCTTCTCTTCCAAGTTCTTCTTAGCATCCGAGTGTATAAGCTTTATTAACTCGGCCTTTTTCTTCCCATCCATACTCAACCTTTAACTCAAAGGTAAATGCATCAAATCCAAAGGAGAGGTGGGATTGAACCCATAAACAATTTGAAATGGTGAGTATTTAGAAGCAGAATGCACGGCATGGTTGTATGCAAATTCTACATGAGGTAAGCAATCTTCCCAAGACTTAAGGTTCTTTTTAATCAATGCTCTCAACAATGTTCCTAAAGTCCTATTCACAACTTCAGTCTGACCGTCAGTTTGCGGATGACAAGTGGTAGAAAACATTAGCTTAGTTCCTAGTTTAGACCACAAGGTTTTCCAAAAGTAACTAAGGAACTTAGTGTCTCTATCCGACACAATGGACTTAGGCATGCCATGAATGCGAACTATTTCCTTAAAGAAAAGATTGGCAATGTGCACAGCATCATCACTCTTATGACACGCAATAAAATGAGACATCTTAGAGAATCTATCTACAGCTACAAAGATAGAATCCTTACCTGTTTTTGTTCTAGACAAGCCTAAAACAAAGTCCATGGACATGTCATGCCACATATGAGATGGTATGGGCAAAAGGGAGTACAAACCGTGATGTTGTGTTTTGGATTTGGCTTGCTTGCATGTGTTGCACCTTCCACACACTCTCTCAACGTCACGTCTCATATGTGGCCAATAAAAGTGATCTTTCATCACTTCTAAGGTCTTAGCAATTCCAAAGTGCCCCATCAATCCACCACCGTGTGCTTCCCTGATGAACAAGTCCCTTATAGAACAATTAGGTACACAAAGACGGTTCTCAAAGAAGAAAAACCCATCTTGTATAAAGAATTTACCCGAAGGAGATTTAGAGCAAGCAATAAAAATATCTGAAAAATCAGCATCAAATTTGTATAGCTCTTTAAGCTGATCAAATCCTAGAAACTTAGCTTCTAAAGTATAGAGCAATGTGTACCTTCTTGACAAAGCGTCAGCCACCACATTTTCCTTACCTTGTTTATACTTTATAACGTATGGAAATGTTTCTATAAACTCAACCCACCTTGCATGCCTTTTGTTTAACTTTTGCTGACCTTTGAGATGTTTTAAAGACTCATGGTCGGTGTGAATGACAAACTCCTTAGGCCAGAGGTAGTGTTGCCATGTTTGTAGTGCCCTCACCAAAGCGTACAGCTCCTTGTCGTACGTTGGGTAGTTAAGCATGGCACCACCAAGCTTTTCACTGAAGTAGGCTATTGGTTGCTTCTCTTGCATCAGAACTGCTCCAATCCCTATCCCTGAAGCATCACACTCAATCTCAAAAGTTTTCAGGAAATTAGGTAAAATAAGGACAGGGGCGTTAGTAAGCTTCTCTTTCAGGCTTTGAAAAGCCTCCTCTTGAACCGTTTCCCACTTAAAGTCAACGTCCTTGATGATCTCGGTGAGTGGAGCTGCTATTGTGCTGAAATCCTTCACAAATCTCCTATAGAACCCGGCCAACCCATGAAATCTTCTTACTTCTCCCATGGTCTTAGGATTTGGCCAGTCACGGATGGCCTTCACCTTTTCCTCGTCCACTTTGACTCCTTCCGAGCTTACTACAAAACCAAGAAAAACAAGACTAGAAGTGCAAAAAGTACACTTCTTAAGGTTAGCTTATAGCTTCTCTTTTCTGAGCAAATCAAGAACTAACCTAATATGTTCTACATGCTCTTCTAGGCCTTTGCTATAAACTAGAATGTCATCAAAATAAACTACCACATAGATGCCTATATACGCCCTAAGAACATGATTCATCAAGCGTATAAAAGTGCTAGGGGCATTAGATAATCCGAATGGCATAACCAGCCATTCATATAAACCATGCTTGGTTTTGAATACGGTTTTCCACTCATCCCCTTCTTTCATTCTAATCTGATGGTAACCAATCTTTAAATCAATCTTAGAAAAGATGTTAGAACCATGCAATTTGTCTAACATGTCATTTAATCTAGGAATGGGATGGCGATACTTCACCGTGATATTGTTGATTGCACGGCAGTCAACACCCATCCTCCAGCTACCGTCTTTCTTAGGAACTAGAAGCACTGGAACCGCACAAGGGCTCATGCTTTCACGGATATGACCCTTAGCCATCAGTTCATCCACTTGTTTTTGTAGTTCCTTAGTCTCTATGGGATTGGTATGGTATGCGGGGACGGTTTGGCAATGATGCTCCTGGAGTGAAATCTATTTGGTGTTCAATGCCTCGGATAGGAGGTAGACCAATGGGGGTCTCAGTTGGAAAGACGTCCTCAAACTCCTGTAAAAGAGCTTGCATTTAACTCGGATATACCAGTGTAGGATCAGCAATGGTGGTTAGTGTTTCTTTAAAAATAAACAAAAGCATAGGTGATTTAGAATGAAAAGCTTTCTTAACCTCTCCGGTTTTAGCAAAGAAATTCAAATGTTTGGCTGACCTTAGAGTTTGCTTCTGATCATTGTAGACTTCTTGAGGAGTCATGGGAACCAAAACATTTTTCTTACAATTATACTCAAAGGAGTGACGGTTTGAAAAACCATCATGTATTACACGGCGGTCAGATTGCCATGGCCTGCCCAAAAGGATGTGGCTTGCTTCCATATGTAGCACATCACATAGTATCTCATCCTTGTATTCTCCAATGGTCAAAGGAACTAACACTTGCTCGGTGACTTTCATTTCTCCCTTCTTATTTAGCCAATGCAACTTATAAGGACTCGGATGAGGAGTAACTTGCAATCCCAACTTCTTGACCATGATATTACTTGCAACATTAGCACAACTCCCGCCGTCTATGATCAAACTACAAACTTTCCCTTGAACCAAGCAACGGGTGTGGAAGAGGTTTTCACGCTGATCTTGTTCCTCCGGTTTGCTTTGCATGGTTAACGTCCTTCTAGCTACGAGTAACTCCCCCTGAACTGGTAACAATTCGTGTTCCTCCTCAGTTTCCTCTAGCTGCTCATCCTCTGATTCTATATCACCGTTGTCAAGCAAGACCATGACGCGTTTGTTGATACACTCGTTGGCATATTGTCCTCGACCTTGGCATTTGAAGCACTTCACATCACGGGCCTTAGTATTGGCTTCCTTAGGTTTTCCATGTAGAGATGTTGCTTCATGCTTTTGGATGAACGGCTTACTTTCTCTCGGGTGATTCTTATCTTCCTGCGGATAGACTGTCCGGTACGTATTCCTGTCGTCCCGCAGGTAAGTTGTTCGGTTATTTGGACCAGTACCAGGACCCGAACGGTAAGACCCTTTCCTCTTAACTTGCTGCTCAAACAAAACTGCCTTATGAAGCATTTCTTCCAGGTCAACATAGTGTTGTGTCTCTAGGCGGTCCTGAATCTCGCGGTTAAGTCCTTCGAGGAACCTAGCCATCGTAGCTTCCCTATCCTCCAAGATGTCCGCTCTAAGCATGAGTGTCTCCATCTCTTGAAAATATTCTTCCACGGTTCGGTTGCCTTGTGTCAATCTCCTAAGCCTCTGATGGAGTTCCCGGTGGTAATGGCTCGGAACAAATCGCTTCCTCATCAAGTTTCTCATTTCATTCCATGTAGTAACCGGATACTCTTGGTTGCGCCTCCTAGTTGTGACAAGCTGATCCCACCAACTCAAGGCATAGTCATAGAATTCTGTTGCTGCCACCTTAACTCGGTTCTCTTCTGTATAGTGTTGAACGTTGAAAACAAGTTCTATCTTCTTCTCCCATTCAAGGTAAGCATCCGGATCACACTTGCCATGGAAGGAGGGAATCTTCAATTTTAGCCCGGCCAAGTTGTCCTGCGCTCTGTCTCTGCCCTGTCTAGAACTTCTCCGGCCACTCCTTGAGGAACCACTGCCCTTGTAGTACTGGTCTGTATGATGTCCGCTGGCCTGATCCTCTTGATCATCTTCTCTTTTCTTTTCCTGGGCGCTTATTGACCGGCTCCCTTTGTTCAAAGTCCTGTCTGATCTTTTCCACATCCGAGTGTAACATCTTCTTTAACTCGGTTGTGAGGGCCTCAATCAATATCCTTTGGCTTCTTCCCATCTGACTCTCCAGATCATCTTCATCCCCGGCCATGGTTCCTGAAAATTAAGGAACAAATCGCAGTAAATAGTTCTTTAATAGATTATAATTTATAAAAATTCTAAACTATTTTTAAAAATATTTTGGGAATTACTAGTGACTAAATCCGTGATGAAAAAGAATTTTAAAATTGTTTTTTAGAGTAGATGAAGAGATAAAAATTGAATCGACAAAAATAACGAAAACAGATCGGATCAGAACACTTAGCTTTGGAAGGTTTGCTCTTATACCACTTGATATGATCCCTCTTATGATCTTGACCTTACAAACCAAGTGATGAATGTATTGATCCGTGATAATGAGATGACTTGAAAGTTTTGATGAGAGATGAATCGTTTGTGGGGGAAAAAGGGGGAAGAGTGAGTATGGAATGTAGCAAGAGGTGCGGATGACTCTTGATACAAACTGTTAAAACACAAAGGATATGACGCACCTATGATTTTAAGCAGGGTTTCTCGTAAAAATTACACACCAAGAGAGGTTGATCTACTTTCAAAGAGAAATTTCATTAGAAAGATAGATGAAAACCAAACATAACCACACACACAGTTTTAAGGAGAAAGAGGAGAAGAGGAGAACGTACAACAAGAAAGCATTAAGTTAGTCTTGGGACAAACCCCCTTGATTAACCATGCATGACTCGGTTCAAACTTACACAAAATACAAGACTAAATAAACAACTGAGGATAGAGAATGAATCTAGACACTCAAAGCCGCGGATGGTAAATAGAAGTGGGCTTGGACAAATGACAAGTTAATGGGCAATGATGTTGTAGAAACACTTGCCTCGTGATATATCATGGTTTTTATGGTTTTTAACCATGATATAAATCCATTTTATTGAGTCTTTTTGGTCTTTTTAGAGTCCTAGAAGAGTCTTTGCAGGTTATAGCATGTCTGAAGCATAATTGGAGACATTGAAGCTTTTTTGGAGCATTGCAAGTTGAAGCCACGAAGTATCCAACTCGGAAAGAAAAGTATGCATATAGGTGACGCTCGTCACCACCTTTGGTGATGCTCATCACCCACCAGGGAAGGAGGTCGTGGCTGTTTATTAAAAGATGGAGCATTATTTGCAGAATTGGCCCAAAAGTTCCATTATTTGCAAGAAGACCCCAGATCGTGTTTAGCCTCTATTTATTAGGTTTTTCAGCCATTGTTGGCTTGGATCTTAGATTTTAGAATTCAGAGAATTTGAGAGAGAGATTTATTCAGAGTTTTTTGGGGAGACATATCATGTACTCTTTTAAGAAGATTTCGAACCCCCTTATTCTTTTACTCTTTCTCTTAATGCAATATTATTCAGTTATGTTTTGTGATTCCATGATCATGTCTGAGTAATCTGCTAGTTAAGTTAGGGATTTTTCAAAGGTTGATGAAGAGTTTGTAGAATTGCTACCTGTTAGGAATATCTTTTGGTTTTTCATCTCTGCTTGCTTTAAAATCGAATTTCTTAGACACATCATCTAGAAATCCGAAAATCATAGGTTGTTAAATATATGTGAGAGCATTATTGATAACCTGAACTAGTATTTGATGAGCAAAACAACTTAGTGCAAAGAGATTTGGCTTAGGAGTTTTGTGAACAATTGAATCTAATCATTCCTGCATGTTTAGGTTGTTAGGGTTTGCAAAGAGATTTCAAACTCTGTGATTTAAACATAGTTAACTTCTGCAATGAGAATTGATTAGTTATATATTTGATATTCATGTTCAAAACGGTTCTTAATCATTCCTGATTTCATGCATTCTACATTCTCGGATTCAACCTGCGAACTGTCGTGACTTAGCGCTTTTAGTCTTCTGAAACTTAGATCAACAACTTGAATTTCGTTTGCTTACTTTTATTTATCATTCGCATTAAATACATTACATTCTGCTTAGCTTAATCCGAACCTACATTCGATAGTGTAGTTTGCGTTACTCTCTTGGGATTCAATACCCCTTGTACTACAACTGCTTTGCTGTGCACTTGCAGTAGTTTTATTTGGGTAAAACCTGAGCCCTATCACCTCGTTAAAAACCTTAGTGAGAAAACCCAATGGGACAAAACCCACTAAGGGAAAACGAGCACAAAATGCTTCTACAAACCCCTTAACTAGTAATCGGCTATAATGCATACCAAAGCAGTATGTATAGCCTGTTTATTATCATATGCTTCATGAATGAACCGATTAAGCAATATTTCTAAGGCATTATGAAATGCCTTAGCCTTTGAACGGGTCATGGGACCTTCATGAACCTCTAGCAAGTCATCAGCTACATGTTTGTTTGGATCTTGTTCCTCCTCGGCTGCAAATTCACCAATGTCTTCCATGACCATATCAGGGGAGGGGAGAGGGGAAATAGAGATATATATATAGGAATTTGACTACTGAGAAATAATACTTTAGGGTATGTGAATGTTTGGAAAGAGATGTAAATTAGATCTTGAGGAGCCACGCAGGCTTGTACGAAGCAATGGCTTGTATCATTGCCAATCCAAGCAATACTCCTTCTTCTTGTCCCCGAGAGTTGGTTTCCTAAGAGGTCAAGTGACTCTAGCTCCGAAATGTTGGCCAAAGAAGATGGAATGTGGCCTGTTAAGTCATTGTTTGATAAGTTGAGTGCAATCAGTGCTTTCAGGAGACCAATGGATTCAGGAATCTGTCCTTCGAGTAAGTTTCCAGAAAAATCAATGGTTGCGTAGGAAGTGAGGACTCTCTGTTCTTCCATTTGTAGTCCTTTGTATTGCAAATCTATACTATCAGTATAGGTAAATCCAATTGGTCTATACTCCCATCTTCATTCATCCTAAGTGACGCTGCTTTCCAGTTCTCAAAGTATCTTGGTGGTAAGCTTCCAGTGAACTTATTGTCTGGTATCTCAAATATCTGCAGATCCGGAAATCCAAGAAGACCTTGATGAGGAGGAGATAAAGGACCATAGAATGTGTTTGAACGGAGGACAAGATCTTTCAAATCCGGTAATGCCTTGATCCAGAAAGGAAACGTGTCTTTGATTCTGTTGTTGTCAACACTTAGAAACCTCAGAGAGGAGCAATTCAGAAGAGACCTTGGAAGCTTCCCGGTTAGTTGATTGTATCCAACGTCAATCGTCCGCACCAAGTCACTGACACCAAAACCGTGAGGAATACTTCCTTGCAATCGTTCTTCCAAAGAGTCACAAACACAAAATTACTTAGATATTGAGGAATTGGACCAGTGAAGTTGTTGTAGCTTAGAGCAAGAATAGTGAGAGAGCTTCTGTTGCAGATGAAAAGAGGTATCTCTCCTGTGAAACTGTTACTACCCGCATCGAAGACGCTGATAGAGAGTGGTAGATTAGGAATGGTTCCTTCAAAATTGTTTAACCAAATAACCAATATCTGCACTGATGAATTTACTAAAACGTCCGCCGAACCTTGGAAACCGGTGAAAGAATTGTTAGCAATGTTGACTGAGCTTAGACGAGGAAGCTTCCATAACCACTCGGGTATTTTCCCTTTGATTTTATTTCTCGATAAGTTTATATAATCCAGCTTCTTAAGGGTTTTTAATATCCTTGAGGAACTCGCTGATGCCGCAATGGGACAAGGTCAGGCTCTCTAGGTTCAATGGGATTGCATAATCAGACCTTAAACTAGCTCGAGATATATTGTTACCAGACATATCGAGCCACTCCAAAAACTTGAAAGAAGAGAGGAGGCTTAAGTCCATTGGATAACTTGTTTTTAGGAAAGAAAGGTCGAGAGATTTGAGGGTGGTGAACTTTGAGATTGGCTCTAATATTTTTCCTTCCAAATCGACGTTTCCAAGGTACAGAAGCTCTAGCCTTGACAACGAAGAGGAGTTGAGATGTTCAATGGAACCGTTGAACTGGTTTCCATGTAGATCAAGTTCTGCCAAGAAAGGCAGAGTGAGGACAGAAGGAATGGTTCCATAGAAGTGATTCCCGTAGAAGCTTATAAGAGAGAGCTTAGTTAGGTTTTGTACAAGTGGGAAACCAGTGAGAGTGTTTTGTCCAAGTATTAACATGGTTATTTGGGTCAAGTTACTAATTGTGGGAGGAACTTGACCGAAGAAGCCATTAGAGGAAAGAGACAAGGTCTCTAATTTGTTGAGGTTACCAAATTCGAAAGGGAGTGAAGAACTAAAGTTGTTAAAGGCTAGACTAAGCTGACGGAGCTCGAGCAAGTCAAAGAGGCTACTTTTGGAATTCAGAGTTCCCGAGAAGTGATTGTAAGAAAACTTTAAAACTGTGAGCTTAGTTAGATTCCCCACAAGTGGGAAACTACCAGTGAGCTCGTTATGGGATAGAGCTAAAACGGAAAGCATACTTAGGTTACTAAATGAGGAAGGAACTTGGCCGACGAAGCCATTAGAGGGAAGAGATAAAACCTCTAATTTGTTGAAGATGAGATGAAATCGTTGTGTGAGAGATTAAGGTAACGAAGATGATGCAATCCAAAGAGGCTACTGTTGGGCTTCAAGGTTCCACTGAGACAGGCATTGAGTTGTAGCTTCGTGATCTCACCCGTCGAGTTATCGCACCAGACTACATTAGAGAAGTCACTATGGTTGCAACCACGAGTATCAAACTCGTTTTTGAAATGAGCAAAGGTTTGAATCTGGTGACGACGACAACCAACAAGACCACCAACATCATCATTAAGAGTGACAATTGAGAAGCTTGAAGGGGAGACACAACAGAGCAAGAGTAGCAAGAGAAAATGCAAACGCATAAGCGATTCCCACATGGTCGTCATCAAAATGTTTTAAGAAGAATGATTTTAGTGTAAGAAAAGTGAGAGAAACATTTTGAGAAAATGTTCCAAAAATATGCTAAAGTTTTTTAGAGAGAAAAATATGCCAAAGTTGACGTCTAAGAACCATTTAAAGTATGAAGTGAAATCCACGTTAGTTAATTTATTTTTCTAACTTATAACTTGGATTGAGATCAGATGTAATTTGAAAAATCTCACATATGTTAAAGTTACAAAAGAAAAATTATGGTATAAAATAAACAAAATGATCAAAGACAAGAAGAACATATAATTAAATAGTTTGTTTGGGGATTGGAGAAAGCTGTCCAAATTCATCTTTCTCTATTGTATCCATCAGAAATTAAAACGATAAGAGAGAGTCTGGGTGTGGCAACAAAGGACAGTTCTTGAAAGTTTTATTTGTGTGAAAGCCAAGCAACATCAAAAGAGACTCTAAATATATATATAAATCTCTCTATTTTTTCTTAGAAAAATTTAAAAGTTCATAAATGTAACTGATTTTATTTCTTTCTAATTTTAATAAGTTTCCGGTATCATAATACTTCTCAGTGTTCTCACCACCAATCCACAAATTTCTAGGCCTTTCAAACAAATCACATTTTGTTCGTTAAAACGTTTTTGATACTTTGTTTCTCTTTGAATTATCTTGTACTTATTGCATTTAAGAATCTATGGCCTTACAGTGAAATGGCACTATGTTTGTTTGTGGATTAGAGAAGACTTTTTCAAAATTTTAAGAATATCTGGCATTGATTTGTTTGTGGATTAGAGAAGACTTTGTCAAAACTTCAAAACCAAAAAAATTCTCACTTAGTTTCCGTATCAGCCAATTACATGGACCATACAAATAAGACGAAACAAATAATTATTTGTTAACGAATTTGCGTTGACGATTTGTCTTTACTCACATGCATATCTTAATTTGTTTTGTTTGTTCTAGTGAAGTGAGTTTCTCTTCTGTTTATGCGAATGCGAACCCAAGAGATTAAAGTTTTAATCTTTTAGGATTAGTTTCAGACTTTCAGTTATAACTGAGAGACAATACTTGCGAGAGATTTTCATTTGCATTATCCTTTCATTGTTATATGACATAAGCTCAAACAAATTTACCTGTAGTAGAATGAGGCATTTTTGGCACTGTTTATTTTTGCATTTAAACGCAGCATCTGGATGCAAATGCTATTTGTTTGGAACCCAAGCAACCTCAGAATAGACTCTAATTAAGCTCACTAGCACAGAGGTGATGATTTCGTTTTAATTAGCAAATTAGGGTTAGCTTTGTTTTGTATGTCTAATTGTTCTCTTCTTTGCGTGTGTTGAGAATACTACTCCGAAAGTCTTATAATCTTGCATTTACTCTTAATGGCTAAATATTCATATATAAATGTGCACAGAACATTTTACAAATATATACAGAAATATTGTCATTCTTGTCCATCGTCTTTATATATTGTAACAGCGTGGATTAATTGTCGTTAACTGTGAAAGACGTTTCTGAAATCAGACAAATCTCCTGTCGTTTGCATTTTATTAGGGTTGAAAATTTTAATATGTTGAGAGAATGTAAATCCATGAGACTGGGTGGAGTATTGTCCTTTTACGAGAATGAAGCATTTTAAATTTTTAATTGAGCTAAAAATATAAAAGAAACAATAGTGGAAATTAACCTAACGTTGCTCCTCTCTCTTGTTATTCAAGATGACTTAATACCTACTAATGTACTACAGTTGATCACTTCTCGGTGGAATGCCACTATTGATTTGTGGTAAGTACGTACGCTACACGTTAGGTCATAAATATTGCCCTATTTTCTATTCTAACTTGGATCGGGTATTGGGCTTATATATGGATCTTTAGTGTTTGTAATTCACACATTAATGGTATTCGCCTCAAATCGTTATCTCTCATTCGAGTTCATTGTTTCAATTGCGATTTCACAACATGTATTCATCCCCATCGCTATCATAAAAAATCCCGAAACAACTTGGGGCTCAAAAAGGAAACTACTTTGAAACAAACTAAAATTTACAAATATACGGATATATCCTTGATATTTTCTCATAATTACCATCGTATCCTCATCTCCTCATCGTAGTCGCCGTTGGATCAAATTATCAAACAGATGATATAGTTTTTTTTTTATCCTCTGCATTTAGCCCTCATCAGTAGAAGTCAAGCCAACTAGACTAGGATATCCACGAGGTGATGATTTTCTTTTGATTAGCTTCTGATTTTCATTTTGTTGTACATCTCTTTGCTTAATTCCATTTGTGGCATTGTTGTTGTTAATTTTAAAAAACGTTTCAGAGTTCAGACAAATTCTATGTCGTTTGCAATTTTGTCTTGACAAATATGTTGTGATCCTCTGCTTTATTTTCCCACTCCTCTGTTTGTGTGTTCGTATACAGAATCAAGCTTTTTCTTGTCTCATTTTCACCCTCGAGAAGCTGGCGGGGGAGAGGAAATATAGATGTATATACGAATATTCAGCTTTCGTAATTTGAAGAACGTGAAATAAACATAACGCCATAAATCTATTGATACGCATCCATTTGTGGCATTGCTGTTGTAAGCTTTTAAAGACGTTTCAGAGTTCAGACAAATTCTATGTCGTTTGCATTATTTTAGTCTTTGACAAAGATGTTGTGATCCGCTGCTTTTTTCCCCATTCCTCTGTTTCGAGTTGGTATACAGAATCAAGCTTTTTCTCCCCCTCGAGAAGTTGCGTGGGGGAGGGGAGAGAGGAAATAGATGTATATATGAATATGACTACTGAAAAATGATCCTTAAGGGTATAAATGTTTGAAAAGAGATGTACTGTTGGATTTTGCTTATATATAGATTAGGTCTTTGTGCTAATGGTGATGAGGTGGTTTTTTTGGTAATCTAAAAGTCTAATGTTGAGTTTCTGATGTTTTCTTCAATCTCCTAATTTTTCTCATTAGTAAAAAGAAACATTAGATTAGGTCTTTATTCTCAGGGTGATGGTTCTTATTTGTATATGAGTACATAAAATTCACAATTCGTATTTGATAGAAGAAAATAAACAAAATTATCACAAAGTAACAACATTGAGAGGTCTAGTGACTCGAGCTTTGTAAGATTGGCCAGTGACGGAGGAATATGGCCGGTGAAAGCGTTGTTTGATAGGTTGAGTGCAATCAGTGTATTCAAGAGACCAATGGACTCAGGAATTTTTCCTTCAAGTAGGTTCCCAGAGAAATCAATGGTTGCATAGGAAGTGAGGACTTTCTCTGCCTCCATTTTTAGTCCTTTGTATTGCAAATCTATACGATTAGTATACCTAAATGAAGTAAGTCCCAAAAAATTCTTATCGTACATCATATATATACTCCCGTATTCATTCGTTGTAAGTGACGCTGCTTTCCAGTTCTCAAAGTATGTTGGTGGTAAGCTTCCAGTAAACTTATTGTCTGATATCTCAAATATATGCAGCTTTGGAAACCCAAGAGGACTTTGATCAGGAGGAGATAAAGGGCCGTAGAATCTGTTTGAACGAAGGACAAGAACTTCCAAATCCGGTAACGCCTTGAGCCAGAAGGGAAACGTGTCTTCAATTCTGTTGTGGTTAACTCTTAGAAAATTGAGAAAGGAGCAATTTAAAAGCGATCTTGGAAGCTTCCCAGTTAGTTGATTGTGGCCAACGTTAAGCGTCCGTACAATGGCACCAGCACCAAAAGTGTCAGGAATACTTCCTTGCAAATTGTTCCTCCGCAGATCCACAACCGTGAAATTACTTAGACATTGAGGAATTGGACCGGTGAAGTTGTTGTTGGATAGATCAAGGCCAGCAAGCGAGCTTCTGTTGCAGACCCAAAGAGGTATCTCCCCAGCAAAGACGTTGATTAGGAAGTGCTCCTTCAAAATTGTTCAACTCCATAAGTAATACCTGCAATGATGAATTTCCTAAAAGTTCCACCGAACCTTCGAAGCCGTTGAAAGAATTGTTAGATATATCCATTACGCTTAGACGAGGAAAGTTCCAAAACCACTCGGGTATTTTCCCTTTGATTTTATTGCTGGATATGTTTATAAACTCCAACTTCTTGAGGGCCTTCAATATTTTTGGGAACTCGCTGATGCCGCAATAGGACAAGAAAAAAAACTCTAGGTTCAACGGGATTGCGTAATCAGGCCTTAAACTTGCTCGGGATATATTGTTACCGGACACATCGAGGTACACCAAAAAGTTTAAAGAGGACAGGAGGCTTAGGTCTATTAGGTAACTTTTTTTCGGGAAAGAAAGCTCGAGAACTTTGAGGGTGATGAACTTTGAGATTGGCTCTAATATTTTTCTTTCAAACTCGTTGTATCCAAGTTTCAGACGTTCTAGCCTTGACGACGAAGAGGAGTTGGGATGTTCAATGGAACCGCTGAACTGGTTTACATCTAAATAAAGGACTTTCAAGAAAGGCAGAGTGAAGAGAGATGACGGGATGGTTCCATAGAAGTGGTTATCAAATATATAAAGTTGAGAGAGTTTAGTTAGGTTTTGTACAAGTGGGAAACGACCAGTGAAACTGTTTTGGCCAAGGTACAATGCGGTTAACGAGGTCATGTTACTAATTGTGGGAGGAACTGGACCAAAGAAGCCATTAGAGGAAAGAGACAAAGACTCTAATTTTTTGAGATTTCCAAATTCAAAAAGGAGTGAAGAACTGAAGCTGTTAAAGGCGAGATTAAGCTCAATGAGCTCGTGCAACTCAAAGAGGCTATTTTTGGAATTCAGAGTTCCAGAAAAGTGATTGCGAGAAAGTCTTAAAACTGTGAACTTAGTTAGATTCCGCACAGGTGGGAAACTACCACTGAGCTCGTTATTGGATAGGCTTAAAACGGAAAGCATGCTTAGGTTACTAAACGAAGAAGGAACTTGGCCGACGAAGCCATTAAAGGAAAGAGATAAAACCTTTAATTTGTTGAGATTGCCAAACTCGAAAGGGAGTGAAGAGGAGATGAAGTTGTTTCCCGAGAGATTAAGGTAACGAAGATGATGCATTCCAAAGAGGCTACTGTTGGGCTTCAAGGTTCCACTGAGACAGGCACTGAGTCGTAGCTTTGTGATCTCACCGGTCGATTTATCGCACCAGACTCCATTGGAGAAGTCACTATGGTTGCAACCACGAGTATCAAACTCGTTTTTGAACTGCGTAAAGGCTTGAATCTGGCGTGGACGACAACCAACGAGACCACCACCATGAGCATTTTCAGTGGCAAAGGTTGAAAGGGAGACGCAACAGAGCAAGACTAGCAAAAGAAAATGCAAACGCATAAGAGATTCAGACATGGTCGTCATCAAAATGTTTTACAGAAGAATGATTTTACTGTAAGAAAGGTGAGAGAGAAGATTGATTATAAATAGAGAGATATGTGGTTTTTGCATTGGAGCTATGTCACCCTCGCAACTTGTGAATCAGAGAGAAAATTATGCCAAAAGTACTAAATCATGAAGTAAAATGCACGTTAGCTAATCTCTCTAGCGTGTAACTTGGATTGGAACCACATGAGTTTGAAATTTCTCACATATGTTCAAAATTACACAAATAAACTTAGCATAACAACAAACACATTGGATACGTTTGTGGATTGGAGAAATTTGTAGCCTCTTGATCCACTTACAAAGATAAATTAGCATTGACTTTGATTTATTAAATATTTGTGGGTTGTCAAATTCTCTATAGGAGGATCATGAGCAACACCAATTGATATTGACCTTACACGTGTCACACACCAAGCGCATCATCAGCTAACGTTATCGGAAGCTCCCTTGGTCTGTATAATGTCGTGCGGAGAGGAGAAGATCTCTCTAATTCTTCATTCTCACATCGCGTGACGTGATTAAGGGAGTGAGAGTGTGAGAGTTCTGCTTCGGTGTTGTTAATGTAGACTTCGTAGCTTTCATCGGCTGAGTAGTATTCAGAATCTAAAACGATAAAACTAAATATTTAATTTTGGATGGAGATTTTTTTTTTTTTTTTTTTCGTGTTCACCCTAAGCAAACAGTTCTAACATAAAACGACCACTCTTGACAAAATGAACAAAATCAACCATTTTATTCCAAACTTGAAACTTGAAACCAACCAAAAGCATACACATGAAAAAAGAGCATACAATACAACTCCAAATAAACAGAAAGGACATACACAATTGCTAATGTACCACATTTTATTGTAAATATTAATCATCATATTTAATTTTATTTAATTTAATAATAACAACGTACGTACGAATGCATGAACAAGAGCCTCATCAATGATGTCCACCACCACCACCATAACCACCTCCAAATCCTCCTCCACCACCGGCCCCACCGCCGAATCCTCCTCCTCCGCCAAATCCTCCTCCTCCTCCAGCACCACCACCATATCCTCCTCCTGCACCACCACCATATCCTCCTCCAGCTCCACCGCCTAACCCACCTCCTCCACCTAAACCACCACCACCACCTCCTCCTAGACCTCCACCTCCACCTAGACCGCCCCCGTGGCCTAGACCGCCGCCTCCGCCCAAACCGCCACCGTGGCCTAGACCGCCTCCTCCACCCAAACCGCCTCCTCCTCCTAAACCACCACCGCCTCCTCCGCCCAAAACCGCCTCCTCCTCCTAAACCACCACCGCCTCCTAGACCACCACCGTGGCCTAGACCACCTCCTCCGCCCAAACCGCCACCGTGGCCTAAACCACCTCCTCCACCCAAACCACCACCGCCTCCTAGACCGCCACCGCCACCTAGACCGCCACCGCCGCCCAAACCCTTTCCATAACCCTTCTTGTAAATGCCATGCTTGTGGAAGTATGGACGAGGTTTGTGGAAGTACGGTCGAGGTTTGTGGAAAAAGTGTTTGTCGTCGTTAACTTCGACATTCCCGAACGCAAATTCGGCGACAAGGGCGAATACGAAGATAAACACACACGCCTTACGGGCAATTAAACCCATATTTAAGTGGTTAGATTAAAGAACTCCACGAGTTTTATATGATAGAGATGAAAGAGAGAAGACAGTTGTGTCAGTGAAGCATAATCTTGAACTGTTTATATAGAGATATCCGTTGCGTACATACATAACCGGTTTTATTTTTCATTTTTTTGCGTTGAGTTTCTTGTCAGGTCCGGTTTATTTTAATTTCTCTCCATTTTCTTTATTGATTTCTACAATTGACAAAATACTCATAGTTAGTCTGTATTTAAAAGTGTAATGAATTTTCTTGAATCTGGATTAATACAAATATGCATTATGCATTCAGAGAAACAGAGTTGAGATGCCTGTACACAACCGTGAGGAAAACCGGCATTGAATGAACCTGAGGGTTCACCAGGTAACAAAGCGAAGATAATTCAATTGGTTGAGCATAATCAAATTATAAAAGTATTTACTAAATGTACCATTAAATTTATTAGAAAATTTAATCATTTCATTAAGGATAATTTTATCATATCATTAAATTATTAACAAATGCATTAAATTAAATTAGATTATATAGATTTATTAACAAATAATACCAATAAATTATATGTGATACTAATAAAATTTAAATTAATTTAATTTAGAAATTATTTTAAATTCTTTCATAATATCTTAACATAATTACCACATATATGTCATGAATAAATAATATAATTATACATATTATATTATAATCAGTTTATTCTCTACAATATTAAAAGAAAATCACTACTTTAAAATATCTAAAATCTATTATGGTATTTACTAAATGTGACAATTATAGTCAATAATGAATATGTAATCATTATTTTCTGGTTACATATATACATACTATGAAAAAAATATTATGTAAATAATTTTTTTTTGGTCTATTAATGATTTTTTTTGCAGAAAATCATGGGTTTGCGAATTTGACAAACATAATTTTGTAGATTTTTCGGGTTTTACAAGTTTAGCAGATTTTATAAGTTTTAGCAAAAATATGTTTTTACGAGAAAATGTCGGTTTGACTGCTTTTGTAGATTTAGCAAAAACACATGATATTAGAAATTTGGTCGTAAATCACGATTTTGCAGATTTAGAGGAATTAGGTCCGGGATAATCTTTTATTTCATAGTCTTGGGGCTATTTACAACTAGTCAATTCAGAATTACAGAAAAACACGGGTTTGCAGAATGCGAATAACGCAATTTTGCGGATTTTATGGGTTTTACATATTTTAGCGGAAATATGTAGTCATATGAAAAAATGCGGATTTGTGCGTTTGAAAACTCGATTTTGCAGGTTTGGCAGAAACATATGAGTTTAGAAATTTGGTCGTAAAACACAATTTTATAGATTTAACAATTTTACAGAAAAATGGGTTTGTGGATTTGACGGAAAACGTAATTTTGCGAGGTTTACATGTTGTAGTGGGTTTTATAGGTTTTGATGGAAAAATGTGGTTTTATAGATTTTATTAAAAATGCAGGTTTGCTGGTTTGACGAGAAACACAATTTTCCAGGTTTAATAAAAATACGTAATTTTAGAAATTTGTTCATAAAATACGGTTTTATGGTGTTGCTAGGAAACATAACTTTTGGTTTTGTTAAAAAAATGTGGGTTTACAGTTTTGGCAAGAAATTACGGTTTATGGAAAATAATATTTTTATAGTTTCTACGGGAATTCCTGATTTTGGTACAACAACTTGATTTTACGATTTGCGGGAAAATGAGGCTTTTTATTTTGATAGAATACTCTGATTTTATGGTTTTGACATAAAAAAAAAATTTGATTTTGTGGTTTAAATTAAATGGTGTTTTGGTTTTTTTATTTTTTGAGATTCAAATGCTGCATCCAAACTCTATTTTTTAGTATCTTAAATATATAAATTTTGAGATATTATTGTTTTTGTATCGAGATACAACATCCATATACGGATTAAAAAATACTATTATAGAGTTAAATATTTTAGCATTTGCATCCAAATAAGTATCGGGATGCAAAAACAAACAAAGTCTAAGTAAATATTAAAATCTTAATTAGAAACAAATAAAATCTCTCTTGCATTATAAAACATAATATTTTAAAATATTTGTTACAAAACTTAATATAAAATCCGCTAATCAAAATATTTTTTTATAATATCAATCTTAAATCATTTTAAGAACATAAACCAAAAATATAAAAGTAGTTTATATAATCTAATAAAAAATTTTAGTTTGTACCATAATTTTAGATTTAATAATATAAGTTGATTTTTTTTAACAAAAGTTTAATATAAACCGATTTTTGCTATGGTCCAAAAATATTTTATAAAAAAAAACTCACGCAAGTGCACGGATCCAAAATCTAGTAATCAAATTAAATGAGGTGCTGTCATTGGACAATTTATTTATGTGTGCCAACTGCCCGATTGATCTCATCCAACAGTACAAGAAATTGCAATAAATTTGATAAATTGATAAATCTATGGAATTGTATATACATATATATATACACAGAAAGTGATTTGCATACATCAGTTTCCAATTAAAATCAATAAAACAAAACACAAGTGTCTCTCCTCGTGATGACACATTAGCATTTTGGAGTTTTCTGAAAATGGCACTTCAGCAAAAAAATTTACCAATCAAAACATTTTATTAATACAACTCATCTACTTATTTTAATTTTTAAACTTAAACCCATTAAAAACTCAAATACATTTTTGTTAATATTTGTTTTATTTTTTGAAAAATCTAAGCCCAAATAATAAATAACAGCAAATAAAAAAAATACTTTATTTTTTAACAAACCCAAACCCAAATAATATTTAATAGCAAATAAAATAAAAAATTCTAGCTATCTATTTGTTTGACATAGACGTATATGATTGAAGAAAGTGTAGGCTTAACATCAACTATGCTTCCATAACAACAATGTAAAAAGCTTTATGTTATAAGAAGCTCACACATAAACAAAAATTTAAACCAATAAAAATATAACAATAATACATATCATCAACACAATAATAAAATCAGTTTACTATTTTGCTGACCCATTAAAAAACTCAAAGTTTACAAAAAAAAATGGAAGTCGAAAGCAAATAATGAGAAGCTCAGACCACCACAACTTGAAGATTCGCATTTCTGGTGGTTACCGAGAACAAACTTTCTGGGCTTTTGATATATCATGGTTTTTATGCTTTTTAACCATGATATAAGTCCTTTTCATTGAGTCTTTTTGGTCTTTTAGAGTCCTAGTAGAGTCTTTGCAGGTTATAGCATGTCTAGAGCATAATTGGAGATATTGAAGCTTTTTGGAGCATTGCAAGTTGAAGCCACGAAGTGCCTAGCTCGGAGAAGAAAGTATGCCTTATGGTGACGCTCGTCACCCACCAATGAAGGAGCGTGGCTGATTTATTAAAAGTATGAAGATTATTTGCAGAATTAGCCCAGAAGTTCTAGTATTTGCAAGAAGGCCTCAGATCGTGTTTAGCCTCTATTTATTAGGTTTTTCAGCCATTGTTGGCTTGGATCTTAGATTTTAGAATTCAGAGAGCTAGAGAGAGATTTATTCAGAGCTTTTTGGGGAGACAGATCATGTACTCTTTTGAGAAGATTTCGAATCCCCTTAATCTTTTACTCTTTCTCTTAATGAAATTTCATTCAGTTATGCTTTGTGATTTCATGATCATGTCTAAGTAATCTGCTAGTTAAGTTAGGGCTTTTTCAAGGGTTGATGAAGAGATTGTAGAATCGCTACCTGTTAGGAATATCTTTTGGTTTTTCATCTCTGCTTGCTTTAAAATCGAATTTCTGAGACACATCATCTAGAAATCCGATAATCATAGGTTGTTATATATATGTGAGATCATTATTGATAACCTGAACTAGTATTTGATGAGCAAAACAACTTAGTGCAAAGAGATTTGGCTTAGGAGTTTTGTGAACAATTGAATTTGATCATATTGCATGTTTAGATTGTTAGGGTTTGCAAAGAGATTTGAAACTCTGTGATTTAGACATAGATAGCTTCTGCAATGAGAATTGATTAGTTATATATCAGTGATTCATGTTCAAAACGGTTCTTAATCATTCCTGATTTCATGCATTCTACATTCTTGGATTCAACCTGCGAACTGTCCTGACTTAGCGCTTTTAGTCTTCTGAAACTTAAATCAAACAATAAATTCGTTTGCTTATTTTTATTTTATCATACGCATTACATACATTACATTACATACATTTTTATTTTAATCCGAACCCACATTCGATAGTGTACTTTGCATTACTACTTTGGGATTTAATACCCCTTGTACTACAACTGCTTTTGTTGTGCACTTGCAGTAGTTTTATTTGGGTAAAACCTGAGCCTAATCAAGTTTTTGGCGCCGTTTCCGGGGAGTAATAGCTGCCTATTGATTTTTAGTATTAGGATTTTGTCTAAGTTTTAACTTGTTTACTAACTTTCTGCTACTTTTCTTTGTGTTGGTTTCAGGTGTATGCCTAATCGCAGTACCAGAAGCAACAAAGAGAATGAGCTTGTGACTTTGAGCAACGACGAACTTGCTAAGTTGGAGAGGACCATCAGGAAAACTAATAAATAGTCTACAATGGTGGCTCCACTTGTCTTGGTCGAAAACGCAGAAGGTCACTTGGTTGACAGATGGGAACAGGAGGAATGAAGAAGGGCAGAGATTGGATCAGGATGGGAATGTCATCGCTGAACAGCAGATTCAGCAAGCTCCGGATGAGGCTGTAAACGTTGCTGGACGTTTTGTGCAGAGGACTCTAAGAGATTACAACAGACCTGACCAGTTTTATGCCAATAGAGCTGCAATCCGCCCTCCTGCTTTCCTGAGGAACGATTTTGAGCTGAAGCCTGAATATTATCAGCTTGTGGGACAGCATCCATTCCATGGCTTACCTCATGAGCATCATATGGATCACATTGAGAAGTTTGAGGATTTGGCTTCAAGTATCAAAGCTAATGGAGTCACTAATGATTTTCTATTCTGCAAGCTTTTCC